CCAGCAATACCATACTGTTTGGTTTTCTGATTTATATAAATGTTAAATTGTTATTTTAGTTGTATATTACTTTTGTTTCTTTATTTTAAAAATATTAAAGTATAAAACTTTAACATAAAATCAGCCGCTTATAGTCAGTCGGTAAATAAATGTATAAATAATAAATAAGTATAACATTATAAATAAATGTACAACACATAGCACAGTAACATTTATTATTATTATTATTATTATTATTATTATTATTATTATTATTATTATTATTATTATAAAAAGCTATCCATCCATCTTCAACCGCTTACTCCTTGTTCAGGGTCGCGGGGAACCTATAGCCTATCCCAGGAAGCATCGGGCACAAGGCGGGGTACACCCTGGACAGGGTGCCAGTCCATCACAGGGCAATAAAAAGCTATTTCCATGATTTTAAAAAATCCACACAAGCATACTGACATAATTGATCACAATATTGATATTATATGGTCATACGGGACAGACCTAGGTGTTCCTGTGGAGGCTCCATTGTACCACACAGTTAAATGTCACTTCAGTTTACTGCAAAACATTTGTGTTCATTGTGAGATGATTCTACCCTACAAAAAGCAACACATATACGGTGTATAATATGTAGTATAGAGTGCATAGTACACCATTTGAGACACAGCCCTACTCACCCTGACTCCAAACTTTCATACATACAGCAAATTTATAGCGTTTTATATAACAAAATCCATTACATTATAGGAGGATGATCAACAATTGAGACGTGGAGGGTGTGCATAACATGGTATAAGTTTTATTCATCAGTGTAACAGTGAATAAAGACTTTATAGACAGCAGAAATGACAACACTGTGACAATGGAAGAACATTAAGAAACAGAAAAGAGCTCCACTATATCAATCTATAAGATTCCTCAGCTGTCATAAGTTTGCACTAACATCTAGCTTTTTGCTCCAGTCCTTTTAGCCTAATTACCCTTTTTCTATTCTTGAAACAAACATAATAAGGGTGTGGATATGTATCATTACCCGTGATTCCTTTATAATTCACCCAATACTGATGGAAATACCCTTTGCATCATTACAGAACAAACCAGTAACAGCTGTGTCATTATTCAGTGTCCATTTACTTACAGACTACACTACAGATAAACACTGGAGACAGCGCCATAGAGACAGACAGAGTGTGTGACTCACAGTTTTCTTTCCCAGGACGTGAGCTACGATGTACTGTGAGGAGAGGAGCGGCTCAGAGATTCCATGCTGCTGAAAGCACTGCATCCACACGTTCACCGCCTGCTCTACTGTAACACTGTAGTCTACAGGTGGAGCGAGAGCGCCACCTACACCTCCACACGGCAACCACAGCAGAGCCTGAAGAGAGAGGCTGCCATCAGCGGTGCTTTCATTTACCTACTGATCTTATGCATCAAAAACATGGATATAAAATTACAGGTGCATCTCAAAAGATTTTAATATTGTGGAAAAGTTTTTTTTCCATAATTTAATTTAAAAAGTGAAACTTTCATATATTCTAGATTCATTACACAAAGTCAAATTTTTTTTTATAAGAATTTATAATACAGAAATGTTGACCTGAGAAGAGCTCTAATCAGCGAATTAACTTAAAACAGCTGCAAAGTTTTCCTCAGCTTTTTAATCTCTCAGTCTGATTCAGTACACACAACCACAATCACGGGGAAGATGAAAGTAAATGTTGCATTTCATTTGGAAATCAAGGTCCCAGAGTCTGGAGGAAGAGTGGAGAGGCATAGAATCCACGTTGCTTGAAGTCCAGTGTGAAGTTTCCACAGTCAGTGATGATTTAAGGTGCCATGTCATCTGCTGGTTTTGGTCCACTGTGTTTTCTGAAGTCGAGAGTCAATGCAGCATCTACCAGGAGATTTTAGAGCACTTCATGCTTCCATCTGCTAACAAGCTTTATGGAGATGCTGATTTCCTTTTCCAGCAGGACTTGGCACCTGCCCACAGTGCCAAACTACTAGTAACTGGTGTGCTGACCGTGGCATTACTGTGCTTGATTGGCCAGCCAACTCACCTGACCTGAACCCCATAGAGAATCTATGAGAGACACCAGACCCAACAATACAGATGAGCTGAAGGCCGCTATCAAAGCGACCTGGGCTTCCAAACACCTCAGCAGTGCCACAGTCTGATTACCTCCATGCAGTAATTCGTGCAAAAGGAGCCTTGAGCAAATATTCAGAGAATAAATGAACATACTTTTCAGAAGTTTGACATTTCTGTATTATAAATTCTTTATCCTAATATTTTGAATAAAGCCGTAATCATCAAGTTTAAAACAGAAACAAAAAAGGCTTGAAATAATTCACTTTATGTGTAATAAATCTGGAAACTATGAAAGTTCCCCTATTTTGAATTAAATGATGGGGGGATATTCCACGAATTTTTTGAGCTGCACCTGCAATTGTATTTTGATCTTCACAATATTTGACTTTTTAACGTTAGTTACACATAACTGTGGACAAACAAACGAATTAATACAACACTTTCAAATAAGACAAGTAATAACAAATAAAGAAAACGAATTAAGTACATAATAAATCGTGTGCATTTCATTAGCAACACCTCTCGGCAAACTACACTGTCAATGATTGTGGAAGTAGGAAGGGTGTACTTATTTTTTCCCACCTGGTTTTTTGAATGTTGGTTTACTTTTTAGGGGGATTATATGTTGAAATCTGTGGTGTTTTTTTTTTTTTTTTGCTGTTGTTGTCACCTAAGAATATTTTTTTATTTATAAAAGTTGTTATTAATAACAGTAATAAGAATGAATCATATATATATATATATATATATATAAATACACACACACACACTTGTGTATGCTCTCGCACTGTATCACGTGTGTGAGTTTGAATTTCTGTTGCTTGTGTGAGCTGCTTACTTGACCCTCACCCCAAGCATTTCAATATAAACAAGTCTTGGCATACTGGGCAAATAATAAATACATTTTCTTGAAATGAAATGAAATGCAATAGATCCAACTAAACAGGACTAATGCTCAGCCTTACATGATCTGAGGGGTTACTGGCTGTAATGTTATCAATCAGGTAATATTACGAAACATCTGGACAATTGTCTAATTATGATTGAGTGTGTCATATGGAATCCTTTTTTTTTTTTTTTTTTTTAAAAGAGGATTTAACTCTGTGTCCCTGCAGTTGTCCTCTGTCTCACCCGCTGCTGCATTATCCCTCTTCTTATCCACCCAGTAAAGCTTGTCTGAGTCCAGGCGGACCTGCTGCTTACTGACATCAAACCTAACATCATTCCGCACCGCTACGACTGCAAGGTAATACGGGAAGGAAAGCCAAAGCGTCCGTATTAACAGCTCATCAGACATCCACGCGGCCCATGCTGTCTACAGGTATCGGAATGAAACACGGAAGCTGTACTCCAGCAAGTTTCAAAATAAAAGCCTATGCCTTTCACATATAATACAGAATATATAGTTGAGTACAATCGAGAGTTAAACGCCAATATCTCATAGAAAAAGAGTCAAATGAAAATAAATTAAAATAAATAAATCACATTAAATAATGTTCCTTCTAGTTATAATGAGATTGAACGCCAGGTGGCGCCAATACATTTCCGCATGCATCTCCTCTGCTCTTCCTTCAGGCTCTGTAAGTACATATCTTCCATCCATCCAACTATATTGCATGTCTTTAGTTTTTTTTCTTTTTCAGATTAATCTTTCATTACCAAGACATTAATAATAGTTAATTATACAAATAATTACACAAATATTGTAACTACTATATAACGTTGCAGCAGTCAGGTGGTACAAGTCAGAGCTTTGAGTTGAAGTTGTAATTACTTGTTCTATGAGTTAGTTGGTTAGTTGTATTTATATAGCACCTTTCTAGACACTCAAAGTGCTTTACATAGTATTGGGGGGAGGGGAGGAGGGGTTGGGTATCTCCTCAGTCACCACTAGTGTAGGATCCACCTGTATGATGTGACGGCAGCCATAGTGCACCAGAACACCCACCACACACCAGCTATTAGTGGAGAGGAGAGAGTGATGTGGCCAATTCAGAGATGGGGATTATTAAGGGGCCATGATTGAGAAGGGCCAATGGGGGAATTTCAGCAGGACACCGGGGTCATACCCCTACTCTTTATGATAAGTGTCCTGGGATTTTTAATGACCACAGATAGTCAGGAGGTCTCATCCGAAAGACAGTGCTGACGAGGATGTGAACGCTTTTCACAAGTCGGAATCTCGTATTACATGGCGTGAATGCAGCTTCTCTATAGGGCAGGCATCACAGATGATTAATTATTAAAAGGGGGCCAATCATTTTGAACATGGTGCTACTTTTTGTGTTCAAAACAAGACCATTAAACCAAACAAATAAAATAAATAAATAAATAAATAATAAGAAAAAAAAGAATAGAAAAATCTGACAGTTTTGTGCTTGTGGGGACATTTGGTTGGTTCCCACATGGAAAACTCATAATTCTTTTATCTTCAGCTGTGGTAACTGCTTTATCACAGTTGCAATAGATTCAGAGCCAATGCTGGTAATTCTGGGCATAAGGTGAGAGAAATCGACCTGGGATGCCAGTCCATCACAAGACACCATCTCGACACAAATTCACACGATTAATGTAACCTACTGGCCTGCTTGCATGTTATTGGACAGTGTGAGGAAACCCGAGGAAACCCACACGAACATGGGGGGAAATGGCATACATCTGCACAGGCAGTATCCTGAGCTCAGGATCAAACCCAGTACCCAAGTACTGTGAACAGGTAATGCTACCCACTGCACCATTAACAAGCAGTGATTATTTGGCAACTAAAAGGGCCAAGAGATCTTTTTTATTTAATACTGAGGTTAGGGTTAGATTTAGGGATAGGGAGGATAGTGAAGGATTAAGTTGCATTCATAATTATGTCAATGGAAAGTCCTCACAATGACAGTTGGACAAACATTTAATAATAGGGGGCATGGTGGCTTAGTGGTTAGTTTGTTTGCCTCGCAACCTCCAGGGTTGGGGGTTCAATTCCCAGCCCTGCCCTTTGTGCGAAGAGCTCCCCGTGCTTTGTGGACTTCCTCCGGTTTCCTCCCCCAGTCCAAAGACATGCTTTGTAGGCTGACTTGCATCTCTAAATTGTCCTTAGTGTGTGAATGAGTGTGTGTGTGATTGAGCCCTATGATGGACTTGCACCTGGTCAAGGGTGTCCCCCGCTTTGTGCCCTGAGTCCCCTGGGATAGGATCCAGACTCCCCACGACCATGTGTAGAATAAGAAGTATGGAAAATGGATGGACGTCTAATAATACAATGCATAACCCCATCATCCAAACCTGACTTTTACTTAAATATTGGCTGACGGACTCTATGTCCAACAAAATCATGAGAAACAGTCAGTAATCGAAGTGACATGACATTTCATTTAGACTAACCTGGGCCCATTATGTCAAGCCCAGATGAGAACAGTTCAGCCGCATGCACCCAGACTGTTTCTGCAGTAAAAACACGATCCTGAAATCGAGCAGAGCTTCAATACAAATGTTATTTGTGAAAACATTCATATAGTGTTGCACTGGAAGCTGAAATAATTTGGGAATCTGGGATGACTTCTCTTTGTCTGTGGAGAAAACTATGACTGTGCTGATCGTGCATGTGAGAGAAAGAGCTTTGTAGGCCAGATGGTACTGATTGTTGTTGTGAACTGGAAAGTTCAGTGTGGGCCTGTCAGAGTCCTACTATAGTTCTAGTGTTTACTCCAAACACAGTACATACTGGAGCAGCCAGCCAAGACTGAACTCACACACACACACACACACACACACACACACACACACACACACACACACACACACACACACACAAGGAACGTGACAGAGAAATAGACAAGGAGGAAAGGAAACAAGCAATGAACTAAAAATGAAGGAAAGGGGGAAAAGAAGGAAGGAAGGAAGACAAAGGAAAGGCTGAAGAAAAAAAATATGTTGAAAGAGTAGAATGGAAAAGAAGATTTGAGGAAAGTGTGTGAATCAAGCGTGAAGTTTATTTGATATGCATCTCTCTCAGAGGCGTACCTGAGTTTAATTCATATTGTGTTTTTAAATATAGTGAGGGAACCTGCTTATGCTTTCATATAAATTTTCACTGATATGCTGGGTAAGAGTTGATTACTGCACACGGTCCCCAAGCCAACAATTAACTACTCTGAAGAAATGACAGATAGATTCGAAACTAGTCAATATGACTGCATAGTGCCCCTCTAGTACTAAATACATAATGTATGATGGAGTAGAGAGGGAAAAAACCAAAACCATAATGCATCAGAAGACCATGCTGACTTGAAGACTAATACGACAAAGGTATATAATAAGGCGCACATGCAGGCTTTAACACATTATTTGCGGTTGTTTACCTTGTAGAAATGTCAATTAAATTAAGTTTTATTGTGTTTTCTATTAGTAAAGGCCATTCTTTTTTTCTTATTTTCTATTCCTTCTTCTTTGCAGAAAACAGGACGGCTGGTCCTCAGTGACAATCTCCAAAAATACACAAGTAATCTGAGATCTTACCTGCATGTCCCAAAGGTTTCCATAATGTACATACTGTAAGATGTTTGCCAGCACCATGTCGGTTGTGCCTTCATCAGCGGATGTTCGTGGACGTCCACGTTTCGGTTGGTCCGCAACACCTCCAGTATTTTTGAATTTGTTAATATGTTTGGCAACAGTGTCGTGTGTGATTTGCTTGCCATGTTTCCTGTTAAAGACTATCACAACTGACAGCTTTCAATACGTTCTTCTTTTGGCATTCTTAAAGTTTATCTGAAAAAAATTATATAAACAAAGTAAGACATTTTGCTAAAAACTGTTCATTTCCCCTATGGATGGAGACTTTTGGGACACCCTGTAGAACATTGAAAGATGTAAGGTTCTTCTACTGGGAACCTTTTCTTGCCTGACAAGAGTGATGATTTGAGTTCAGTGTTTAACCTTTATTTCTCTGAGAGTGTACTGACACACAATTCCTCCTTTGCACTTCCTCAGGGTTTTGTAAATTTGACATTTCACTGGGACCCATATACACTCCTAGATAAAAGGTTTCATGTAAAACCTATAAAGGTTCTCAGTCCCTCTGGGGCTTCTAAAGACTCTACAGTGGAGTGTTTTCTTATCAGATACTCTATCAGTTTAAGGTAGCCAAAACTATCGGAAGAAAAGAGCCACTGACCGGTTCCTTTTTTCATTAGGTCTGTCTGTTTTTCTGACATTTTATTCAGTCAAGATCATTTCCTATTTACAAACATAAAAAAACTTTAAATTATTGACGTAATTTCTACAATGCAATATTGTGTTGTTGTTGTTTTTTAACAGTATAATATTGTACATTTGTTTTACAGGTCCATGCACCTGACAACTTGCTTTATTCTTGATTTTTTCCCCCTTTGTGGTATTCAGGACTGTAGCCCGCTGAGCCTGTCCTTGTGGTTCTCATTGTTCATTTTAGCAGGTTTTACATTGTAACCGTTTAATTTAGCACTTACTTATTGCATAATTGCGTATTCATTATGGCAAATTCACATTGTGTAAATTGATATTGTATGTGTCGGATTTTTTTTTTTTACACTGAAATAATTGCCTTAATAAACACATTTTCATCACACACACATAGGATTGAGTTCAGATGTTCATTTGGCAGTAAAAGTTAGAGTAAGGACAACAGCAACAGTAAAATTACAGCAGTGTTTTCATGGCAATAAACAGATACTAATGTTAAGTAGTCATGTAAAAAAAAAGATTTGTTTGAGGTCTTAATGAGAAATGACCAAACACATTAATTAAAAGAAATCACCCTCAACAAGCTACGAGTGCTCTAAGAGAAAATACATAAATAAATAAATAAATAAATAAATAAATAAATAAATAAATAAACGCATAACAGAAACACACATGTGACAAAATATAAGCTACAGAGCTCAGCTGCATGTGGCCAGGAGAGGTGCGGTAATGAGCTCCCCAGTTCATTCTCTCTTTCTGTTGTATAATATTATTCAGGTTATGTTTTTTTTTAGGTTTAGATGTTAGTTTGTTGTCTACTTCAGGTCTAGTTTTAAACATGCAGATCATATCAAAATCAGTGAGGATCACTAAATATAAAATACCAAAATATAACGATGACTGTCAATTACTGGTTTAGTCTATGGTGTGTGTGTGTGTGTGTGTATGCAGTATCTCACAAAAGTGAGTACACCCCTCACATTTGTAAATATTTAGCAAATTAAATAATCATTTCATGTGACAACACTGAAGAAATTATACTATGCTACAATGTAAAGTAGTGAGTGTACAGCTTGTGTAACAGTGTAAATTTTTTGTCTCCTCAAAATAACTCAACACATAGCCATTAATGTCTAAACCACTGGCAACAAAAGTGAGTACACCCCTAAGTGAAAATGTCCAAATTGGGCCCAAAGTGTCAATATTTTCTGTGGCCACCATTATTTTCCAGCACTGCCTTAACCCTCTTGGGCGTGGAGTTCACCAGAGCTTCACAGGTTGCCTCTGGAGTCCTCTTCCACTCCTCCAGGACAACATCACGGATCTGGTGGATGTTAAAGACCTTGTGCTCCTCCACTTTCCATTTGAGGATACCCCACAGATCTCAATAGGGTTTAGGTCTGGAGACATGCTTGGCCAGTCCATCACCTTCACCCTCAGCTTCTTTAGCAAGGCAGTGGTAGTCTTGGAGGTGTGTTTGGGGTCGTTATCATGCTGGAATACTGCATACTAATCATGCTCTGCTTCAGTATGTTACAGCAGTGGTCTCCAACCCCCGGGCCGCGGACCGGTACCGGTCCGTGGGTCATTTGGTACCGGGCCGCACAAAAAGAATAAACAACTTACATTATTTCCGTTTTATTTATTATCTGGGTCTGAACAATGTTTTATTTTGGAGAAAAAAAGACCGGATTCTCTCCGTTACATCCGTATATGACTCACTCTAGACGTATGTCAAAGACGTTTCTCGGCCACGTGTGGTACGTTAAGCTTTAGGGGGCAGAGCGGATGTCACTCATGTTATGTTGTTGGTGTGATCTTACTAGGACACTGCTAATAAAGTTGCGATTTCACATTGGATCCACGTTTATTATTATATATATATTTTTAAATTAATAAAACCCCAGTTTTTATGCCGGTCGTATCATTTTATTTTGTTGTATTATCCGCCACACCTTAAAGGCCGGTCCGTGAAAAATATTGTCTGATATTAAACCGGTCCGTGGCGCAAAAAAGGTTGGGGACCACTGTGTTACAGTACATGTTGGCATTCATGGTTCCCTCAATGAACTGTAGCTCATCAGTGCCAGCAGCACTCATGCAGCCCCAGACCATGACACTCCCACCACCATGCTTGACTGTAGGCAAGACACACTTGTCATTGTGCTCCTCACCTGGATGCAGCTAAACGCGCTTGACACCATCTGAACCAAATAAGTTTATCTTGGTCTCATCAGACCACAGGACATGGTTCCAGTAATCCATGTCCTTAGTCTGCTTGTCTTCAACAAACTGTTTGTGGGCTTTCTTGTGCATAATCTTTAGAAGAGGCTTACTTCTGGGATGACAGCCATTCAGACCAATTTGATGCAGTGTGCGGCATATGGTCTGAGCACTGACAGGCTGACTCCCCTCCCCTTCAACCGCTGTAGCAATGATGGCAGCACTCATACGTTTATTTCCCAAACACAACCCCTGGATATGACGCTGATCACATGCAGTCAACTTCTTTGGTCAACCATGGTGAAGCCTGTTCTGAGTGGAACCTGACCTGTTAAACCGCTGTATGGTCTTGGCCACAGTGCTGAAGCTCAGTGTCAGGGTCTTGGCAATCTTCTTATAGCCTAGGCCATCTTTATGTAGAGCAACAATTCTTTTTTTCAGATCCTCAGAGAGTTCTTTGCCATGAGGTGCCATGTTGAACTTCCAGTGACCAGTATGAGGGAGTGTGTGAGTGATGACACCAAATTTAACACACCTGCTCCCCATTCACA